GATCTCTCAACTCTCCCCAACCCAAACCATTTTGTGATTCCATGAGAGTTGTATTTTTTACCCATTAACTGAAAAATACCTCCCAAACAGTGAAGGCTCCCAGTAACAGGTGACAATGATCTGTCCTATTAATTACTGTGTTAATGAGTAAGATGGGCAAATCGATGCCATCATGGAATAACTTCCAGGTAAGCCCCAGCTTTACTTGAACTAGGAGGGAAAACATTGGAGGCACAATGCAGGAAAACACTTCAGCAGCTTGTGGAAGGAAGTTCCAGTGACATTTTAAATGAACTGTACATTTATAAACCATGTCTAGAGTTAATAAATTATTGAGGGTTAATTCATGTTTCATGCTCCACGCTGGAGTGGCTGCAGCCCTGAAGGAACTGGAGTGAGAGAGAGGCTCTGCAGTTTTTTGTTGGATGTGGGAGCATGGGCAGGTCACAGCTGCTGGGAAGGGTCAGACGTGGTTTAATGCTGCATTTCTGCCAGCTTTTAGCTGTGTTTATCTGGATAAATAAACCTACTGACCTGGCTGAATTCACAGCCATTAAATCCAACCTATTTATTACCACATTTTATCTGAAGAGTTTTTAATCTGTTAAACACAACCACCCTTGGCTGAAGGGTGAAGTGGAAACTAAAACATTAATCAAAATGGTTTTAAAAATTAATTCCACCTCTCTCTCCTATGATATTATAAAATACAGGCATGTTGGAAGTTAACTCAGAGTGGGAAAAGGACCCAGCCATTCCTGGAAAAGCAAGGAATTCTCTTCTTTCTCAGTGACACTCACCTCGTTAAGGCCCTGCGAGATTCTAGTTCTGAGGAGGCAGATGAGGCAGATACTGGGGACACTGGAGGCTGCAGGGCAGAAAATCTGTTCAGACTTGTGGCACTTGGTCGCAAGGAGTCTGGAGATGGTGGAGACAACACAGAGCAGAGCAACAAGGTCAGGAGCTGCTGAGAGCTCAGCCCAGCCAGGGGACAGAACTGCAGGGAAAGGCTGGGCCTGCCCCACCTCAACCCTTCCTGCCAGGAGGTCACACACAGGGGACAGAGGGGAGCCCTCACTGGGGACAGCTCTGATCCTGCCTGAGAGCAGGGACAGCACCCAGGGAAGGGCAGGGGCTGGCCCAGGGGGGTTTGGGTTGGGGATCAGCAAAGGCTCTCACCCAGAGGGTGCTGGCACTGCCCAGGCTGCCCAGGGCATGGTCCCAGCCCTGCCAGAGCTCCAGGACAGGCTGGGATTGTTGGGGGTCTGTGCAGGGCCAGGGGCTGGGTTTGATCCCTGTGGGTCCCTTCCAGCTCAGGACACTCCCTGGTTCTGTGAACCCCACCCAAAGGTGCTCTGGGAACCCCACCCAAAGGTGCTCTGGGAACCCCACCCAAAGGTGCTCTGGGAACCCCACCCAAAGGTGCTCTGGGAACCCCACCCAAAGGTGCTCTTCAGCAGCACAGCCAGGGTGAGGGTTACCCATCCTCACTTACCCATCTCGCTTGCCTTGGCTCCACCACTGCTGCCCTTCCCCCAGCTGCCCAACTGGGCTTTAGGCACGAGCTGAATCTTCTCATCTATTGTGGGCTGTAAAACACACCAAGAGGTGCAGTTACAAGGGCAAATCCTACACTGTAATGATAAATGGGAGATTTTTTTGGCAACAATCCCAGTCTTGTGAACAGCAAAATGCACTTCACATATTTCTGGAAGACTAAACTGTGGCCCAAGACAGGGGACACAAACAACAAAGGGCATCACAAAGAGTCTCTTCCATCAATGAGAGATATTCACAGTGAGCAGGAGCTTCTTTTTATTGAGAATTCTGAAGCTCAGCAAAGTGGATAACCTCAGTACATCCCTATCTGAAAGATGTTCAGTTTGTTTCTGATGTTTAACCCAGATTCACTGTCCATCAACTCTCCAGTCGTGGCTTTGGGGGGATCTGCAGGGCACCAAACAATCCAGAGGGCAAAGGATGACAACAGGTGGCAGAACTTGGAGGAAGTGATGTCTGGCACGAAGAGAATATTGATTTTACAATGTTCAGTGGGAGAGTTCATTGACAAGGAGGTTGTGACCTCGCAGATCTCAGGGGAGCTCCTCTCATTCCAAAGCAGCTGCTGTGGAACCAGCTCCATTTGTATGGAACAGAGCAGGAGGGCTTTGCCCAGGTGAGCTGTAAGCCCAGGCAGAGGGAGGCTAAACCTCTCCTGCTAATGAAGTTTTGGAAGTTCTTTTATGACTTTCAGAAGGAACAAACTGGATCTGCAGAGGGGCTGCAGTCTGTCCAGGTGCTGCTGTGCAGCTCTCCAGGAATCCAGGCACTGAGTGTAAAAATCCAGGGCGAGTGACATTAAGTGGGACAAGGGGATATTTAGGAGTCAATGGTTTATGCAAAGGCCAGACTCCTCCTTGGCAAAATAACCCAGAGCTGTTCTGAACTTCAGCAAAGGAGAAATGTCCAACTTGCCCAACCTGCAGCCTGGAAAACTGTCCCAAATTCACCAGTCTAATGGTGAAATAACAGGAGGATGCTCATCTGGAGGATGAATGTGAGAGTTTATCACATACTGGGGGATGCAACCATGCCACAAAGTTGAGAAACCTCTAAAGCAGACACAGCTCCTCCCATTCTACTGGAGCACCCTGAGTCTGGAGTGCTGTTGTTGGTGACACATCAAAGTGGATGTGGCCTCCCTGTTTTATTGAGGAGCAGCATCAGAACAGGGTCTCAAGAACTTGGGGCAGCCAAGGATTTCCAGCAGGTGTTTGAGACCCCCAGGTGATGTGTTTGAGACCCCCAGGTGATGTGTTTGAGACCATGGAACATGGGGGCTGTGCTGCTGTCACACAACACCCTGGCTCACATTTTCATCACTAATAAAATGCAGATTTTCTGATTGTGAGAGCTTCTGGAGCTCAAAAGGACACTGTGAACCTGAGAAAGAAAGTCTGCACATTCCTTTCCCTCAGGACAAAGCAGAACATCCAGAAGAAAATGCAGCTTGATTTACACCCAGTATTAACTCTGGGGATTTAAGTTTTGACCTGCACACACCATCCTGTCCTTCCTGGACTAACAGGTGTTTTATTGCCCTGAAGGAGGCTGTGCTGGCACCTACCTTGGTGATTTTAAGGAACTTGGTGGGGTCCAGCACTCTGCTGTTCTTTGCCCCCTGCACAGTGTTCCAGCCGCCTTCGTCGACCCGTGGGACACCTGAGGGGACAAACAGAGACACGTTTGGCTCAGCCCAGCCCAGCCCAGCCCAGCCCACTGCTGGGTCCTGCTTGGGAGCCTCCCTCCCTCCCCCTGCCTGCCTGTGCCCTCACACCACAGCCTGCACAGAACAGCTCTCACTCCTCCAGGGGCTGTTTTTGGAAGGGATGGCTCCTGGCTGGATTTCTCTGCATTCAGGAGCTCACAGGAGCTGGTGAGGTGAGAGCCTTCCCTGACCAGAGCCTCACTCACCCCACAATTCCTGCAGCGCTTGGCTGGTCTGACACAGAGCCCCTCAGGCACTCCCAGGTCCCTCACCTTCTCCTGGTGTCACTTTTAGGATAATTAAAGTGTACATGAATTTTTTTTCCATCCTGTTTTCAAAGCACTTTCATATGACAATCCTTAGAGAGTTCCCCAATCCCTAAAGAATCCCTAAAATTAGTCTCTATGTGCCCTGCTCTGTCCCACTCTTCATTTTCCCAGTCACTCCAACTTCATCTTCAGACAGTGCCCTGAGGGCCAGGAGCAGTTTAAGGTGACACCAAGAACTCCCTCATACAGAGTCAGCACCTCATGGCTTTAACAACTAAAGACAACACCGTTACTCCTGAAATGAGATGTTTTTCTTTTGAAATGGGATGGTTTTCTCTTGAAATGAGATGTTTTTCTCTTGAAATGAGACTCTGCAGTGCATGAGAATGGATGGCAAATCTGACTCCTATATAATAACTTGTTAGAACAGATTTCTGGCAGCCTGTCACAAAATCCAACATGGTTTGTGGAATGGAATGTGTAAGCACTGTTGGCCTGTGGTTGGTTATTGTGACCCATGAGATTTGCCCCTGAAAATCCCCACAGCCAATCCATGGCAGATCTGCTCCTTTTCCAGCCTCTGCCATACCAGGCCCCAATTTCCTTTGCTCATTACACACAGGAAAAAAACCACAGATTTTTTTCCTTTTATGTGGGATTCCCTCTAAGGGCACTGGATGTGAAATGAGCAGCCAACTGGCTTTTACTTTACCTGGTCTCCTCTTGTCTTTGGTCATGAGTTGTTGCACCTTCCTCTGTTCTTCCTGCTCTTCAATCTTGGCTTCTTTATGGATCTGCTCGATGGTCTTGGGGCCCTGGTCTGCTCTCCGTGACACCCAGTTGCACTGGGGAAGAAACAAAAAAACCCAAATGTGCTCAGGGAAACTTCCAGGGGAGCATCAAACATGGGGAGTCTGAATATTGGGAACAAGGCCTCATCCTCCCACCCTTGCCATGCCTTGGAGGGGCTGGAGAAAA